AACGAGGAGACAGCTACAACTACAACAAAGAACTGCAACCGAAAATAATAACAATTTTCAAACAGATCATAATGATATGATTAAAAAACCTGATAATAATAGTAACTTGCAACAAATTCACAAATCACATCCATTAGCATATCATACAAGTCGAATATTAAATGATGAATTTTCCAAATTGAACTTAAAAAGCAATGATAGTTTATTAAGTGACCTTGATATTAATGAAATATAATCTTGAATTTAATATGATTATTTATAAATTAATTATAATGATAATGGTAATATAATAATAAGTAGTTGATAAGGGTTAAATTAAAGTTGGAGAATTAGGTAAATTGTTGATGGGTAGATAATCACCATTTATTAATTAATTATTAATTTAATTTATTTATTTTAAAAAATTTGATTAATTTCTCTCCAATTCAGAATCACACATTTTATAATTGAATAATTAATATAATACATAATTTTCCTGATGTCAAAAATCAAAATAATCTCAAAATCAAATGTTAAATACGAAATAACACAATAAAAATTTTATTACAAATAGAAGATAGTAAAATTCGTGATTCAATTAATTTTTTTATTACAAATAGAAGATAATAAAATTTGCGAGGCAATTGATTTTTATCCAAAGGTAAGTTCTCATGAAGAGATTTGCAAAAATTAAAATTAGAACAGAGAAAAATTGGTTTAAAAAACCAGAATGGGATATTGCGGGTCAAAAATATAAAAAAGCAGTATTATATTCTAAATCAAACTTTTCTTTTATATGTATTTTTTTAAACATTAGCTTCTAGTTCCAAATCTGCCAATACAATTAGATTATATATGTCAATAATTGCCACCCAGCTATTTTTATCAATAACTCAATATCATCATTGTCATCATCTCTGTTCTCCAATGTTCATTCTCCTCCTGATTTGACAGCTACAAGAAAAACAATGAGTATTTGAAAAATTCCATTGTAATTTCTGTTGAAGTATTTCTTGCACCTCTTTAGGCGAGGTATCTAAATGACAGATTGTGGATTTTCAGCTTTAGGTAAGTGGTTACATAATTTTACCTAACCATGTCAATATAAGTATACGTGGTTTTCCTAATTATAATTACTTATTTTCAGGAAATTCGCATTATTCACAACATCGTGTCCAGCTTTTGGTCCTGGCAAAAGAATAGAGACAACCAGTACTCTTTAGTTAATGTATCAAAAAATATGCTTTCATTGTCACTAATCACTAATACTGATATAATAATAACGGATTTTTGGAAAAAATTTCTAATTACCCAAACTATCTGCTAAATCAAATCTTTTTTATACTAACAAACATAAAATA